GGTTCAGCTTGGGGGACTGGTGTGGAAGGACCAGGTGTTGGTTCAGCCGGGGGGACTGGTGTGGAAGGACCAGGTGTTGCTGCTGATGGCTGGCACGGACTATCAGGGCAATGGAGATCCAAGTGCTTTAATATTTCAATCTTTTTTATATAAGTCTTTGAGCAGTAACAACAATGAAAGTGTTTTGCCTTTCCACCACAACCCAGTCCACAGCCATATATTATGTAGTCTATAAAGAAAAGACAAAAGTGTAATGTAAATAAAAAAATCAATAATGACTCATAATTGATAACAGACGTAGCATGACATACCTCTATGACTGATTGTTTTGAGCTTGTGACTGGCAAGATGTGTTGCTATCTTTGGATATCCAGCTGGTTTGTATAGCTCAGGGGAACAAAAGGGACACTTAAAGTGGTTTTCATGGATGCGGACAGGTCGAGGAATTTCACCTCCCTTTCGGTTCACTGTTATGTGCTGAACGAATAAAAAATAATAATTGTAAGAATATTTGAAAAGAACACAGATAATGCAGTGTTAAAAGCTTTGCTTAATGGCATAAAAAAATAAAAACAAGTCAACTTGAAATTAATTTGAAATTGACTTTAAAAATGAAGATATTTCTTATAAATTCATAATACATGATATGATTGCAAATATTTTCTTAGGTGAATCGCTTTGACACTGAAATTACACAACAACCACAAAATGTTGACAGTTTGTTTTCAATTGAGACTTATTTATATTTAATATCAACTTTATGTATTACAAACTGGATTCCAAAAAAATTGGGACACTAAAATTGTGAATAAAAAGTGAATGCAATGATGTGGAGATTGCAAATGTCAATATTTTATTAGTAATATAACATAGATGACAGATCAAAAGTTTAATCTGAGTAAATGTAACATTTTAAAGGAAAAATATGTTGATTCAAAGTTTCACAGCGTCAACAAATCCCAAAAAAGTTGGGACAAGTAGCAATAAGTGGCTGGAAAAAGGAAATTGAGCATATAACAAACAGCTGGAAGACCAATTAACACTAATTAGGTCAATTGACAACATGATTGGGTATAAAAAGAGCTTCTCAGAGTGTCAGTGTCTCTCAGAAGCCAAGATGGTAAGAGGATCACCAATTCCACCATTGTTGCGCAGAAAGATAGTGCAGCAATACCAGAATGGTGTTAGCCAGCATAAAATAGCAAAGACTTTTAAGTTATCATCATCAACCGTGCATAACATCATCAAAAGATTCAGAGAATCTGGAACAATCGCTGTGCGTAAGGGTCAAGGCCGTAAAACTCTAATGGATGCTCGTGGTCTCCGAGCCCTTACATGTCACTGCACCTCAAACAGGAATGCCACTGTCAAGAAAATAACAGAATGGGCTCAGGAATACTTCCAGAAAGCATTGTCAGTGAACACAATCCTCCGTGCCATCCGCCGTTGCCAGCTGAAACTCTACAGTGCAAAGAGGAAGCCATTTCTAAGCAAGCTCCACAAGCTCAGACGTTTGCACTGGGCCAGGGGTCATTTAAAATGGAGTGTGGCAAAATGGAAGACTGTTCTGTGGTCAGATGAGTCACGATTTGAAGTTCTTTATGGAACACTGGGACGCCATGTCATCAGGACCAGAGAGTACAAGGATAGCCCAAGTTGTTATGAACGCTCCATTCAGAAGCCTGCATCACTGATGGTATGGGGTTGCATGAGCGCTTGTGGCATGGGCAGCTTGCACATCTGGAAAGGCACCATTAATGCAGAGAACTATGTTCAGGTTCTAGAACAACATATGCTCCCATCTAGATGTCATCTCTTTCAGGAAAGATCCTGCATTTTTCAACACGATAATGCCAGACCACATTGTGCATCAATCACATCATGGCTACGTAGGAGAAGGATCCGGGTACTGAAATGGCCAGCCTGCAGTCCAGATCTTTCACCTATAGAGAACATTTGGCGCATCATAAAGAGGAAGGTGCAACAAAGAAGGCCCAAGATGATTGAACAGTTAGAGGTCTGTATTAGACATGAATGGGAGAGCATTCCTATTTCTAAACTTGAGAAACTGGTCTCCTCTGTCCCCAGACATCTGTTGAGTGTTGTAAAAAGAAGGGGGGATGCCACACAGTGGTAAAAATGGACTTGTCCCAACTTTTTGGGGATTTGTTGACGTCATGAAATTTGGAAACAACAGATTTTTCCCTTAAAATGATACATTCTCTCAGGTTAAACTTTTGATCTGTGATTTGTGTTCTATTCTGCATAAAATATTAGATGTTGGCACCTCCACATCATTGCATTCAGTTTTTATTCACAATTTGTTTAGTGTCCCAACTTTTTTGGAATCCGGTTTGTAGTTTGTCACAGCACAATTTGTCTCGGAAGCATGATTCATACTTTCAGTTCACTTGTACATGCACTAAAAGAATCACTTCTGGAGGTTTTTTTCTTCTTCTTTTCTATTTCATTGTAATCTTATAAATAGAATATTATTTAAAGAGTAACAAAAATACAGACAAAAATAGTTCAATTACATTTCACTAGACTGCCTTGATAGCTTTAACAAAAAGAAGTAACTCAAGTAAATAAAATTTATGTGCCTGTGTATAATAAAAAACGTGAAGAAAGATGAAGTAATTAATTAGTGATTCCCATAAACACATGGGATATAGTCTTGAACATTTCAATAACACTACCAGTTAATCTAATAAAATATGTGACTGTCCTAAATATAAAGGTCTTCTTTTGTCCATGATGTGTCCACCATAGGGCACATTGACAGCGTAAATACTTTAAAGTTCAATACACAATTTTGTACCATTTTATAAATTTCCAAATTATAACATTTACTCATTAAGGGAATTATCAACACAAATATGTCATTTCATAGCATTTAATATTTTAATTAATACAAATGTTATGCTGTATAGATCAAAATTTTAATATTAATCCAGAACTATTTGTTTTAGTGCATGCACAAATGAGCTAACGGTACGGATTGACTTAATTTGAAACTCCCCATGAAACCCAATTCAGAGACCACCACACAAACGATCACTAGAAATGAAATAATTGATAAAAAAGTTCAGTTATTTAAATAAATAGATAATTAAGTATTGAGCCATCAGCATAACAGTGATATTGTACAAATAAATTTAGATTTGTTATGCTAAAAAGTCTAAACATCAGCGCCTTTTGATTGTGTAATGCTAGTAATGTACCTCAACAAGATTATATATTTATATATACAGTGCCTTGCAAAAGTATTCGGACCCCTTGAACTTTTCAACCTTTTGCCACATTTCAGGCTCAAAACATAAAAGATATAAAATTTTAATTTTTTGTGAAGAATCAACAAGTGGGACACAATCGTGAAGTGGAATGAAATTTATTGGATGTGTCAAATTTTTTTAACAAATAAAAAACTGAAAAGTGGGGCGTGCAATATTATTCGGCTCCCTTGCGTTAATACTTTGTAGCGCCGCCTTTTGCTGCAGTTCCAGCTGCAAGTCTCTTGGGGTTTGTCTCTATCAGTTTTGAACATGGAGACACTGAAATTCTTGCCCATTCTTCCTGCAAAACAGCTCGAGCTCAGTGAGGTTGGATGGAGAGCGTTTGTGAACAGCAGTCTTCAGCTCTTTCCACAGATTCTCGATTGGAGTCAGGTCTGGACTTTGACTTGGACATTCCAACACGTGGATACGTTTATTTATGAACCATTCCATTGTAGATTTGGCTTTATGTTTTGGATCATCGTCTTGTTGGAAGATTTGTTATAAATGTGATTTATTTATAATTTACACAGTATATGTATGAAGTCCTTGATATTGGTAAAGTGACATATGCAATAAGGCTAGTAAAAAATATATATATCAACAGTAGTGTAATATAAACAGTAGTGTGAATATACACAGTAGTGTGAATATGCACAGTAGTGCAAATGTAAACAATAGTGTGACAATAAACAGTAGTATGAATATAAACAGTAGTGTGAATATAAACAGTAGTGTGAATATAAACAGTAGTATGAATATGAACATTACTGTAAAATATAAACAGTAGTATGAATATAAAAAGTAGTATGAATATAAACAGTAGTGTGAATATAAACAGTAGTGTGAATATACACAGTGGTGCAAATGTAAACAGTAGTGTGAATATACACAGTAGTGCAAATGTAAACAGTAGTATGAATATAAAAAGTAGTATGAATATGAATAGTATGAATATAAACAGTAGTGTGAATATAAACAGTAGAATGAATATAAACAGTAGTGTGAATATAAACAGTAGTATGAAAATAAACAGTAGTGTGAATATAAACAGTAGTATGAAAATAAACAGTAGTATGAATATAAACAGTAGTGCAAATGTAAACAGTAGTGCAAATTGAATGAGCACATGAGCGTGTGTTGAGTGTATAACCCGTTTTTTAATTATGCAGAGTTCAATGTTAAAAGTTTTTGTGTTGTGTGGAAGTGTGTGAAAGTTTTGTGTGTTAAGGCGGTGCAAGAGGGAGGGGAAGCAGAGCAGGCAAAGAGTTCAGCATCCCGACTGCCTGATGAACAGAGCTGTGTCTCAGTCTGCTAGTTCGAGCCTGGAGACTCTGCAGTCTCCTCCCTGATAGCAGCAGGCTGAAGAAGCTGTGTAGTGGGTGTGTGGGATCACCCGCCATGCAGAGGGCTTTCCGAGTGAGGCAGGTACTGTGTAAGTCATGCAGGGGAAAGAGGTGCCGACAATCTTCTCGGCTGCTCTCATGATGCGCTTGAGTGTCTTGCGGCAGGAACATGTACCAAACCACATCATGATGCAGCTGGTCAGAACACTCTCTATGGCACCCCTGTGGGTTGGAGTTCCAGCTCTTTTCAGCTTGCGGAGAAAGTAGAGGCGCTGGTGAGCCTTCTTGGCCAGTGATGCAGTGTTCCTGCTCCAGGACAGATCCTCTGAGACGTGCACCCCCAGAAACTTGGTGCTGCTCACACTCTCCACAGTAGTACCATTGATGGTCAGAGGCGCATGCTGGGCGTGCATCTTCCTGAAGTCCACAACAATCTCCTTTGTCTTATCAACGTTCAGAGAGAGATTGTTGTGTCCGCACCACAAGGCCAGGCGGCTCACCTCGTTCCTGTAGTCTGTCTCATTGTTGCTGCTGAGACCCACCACAGTCGTATCATCCGCAAACTTGACAAAGTAGTTGGAGCTGTATGATGGTGTGCAGTCGTGTGTCAGCAGGGTGAATAGAAGGGGGCTCAGCACGCATCCTTGGGGGGCCCCTGTATTCAGTGTGATGGTGCTGGATGTGTTACTACCGAGCCGTACTGCCCGGTTAGGAAGTCTAGCAGCCAGTTACACAATGAGGTGTTCAGCCCCAGACTGTCCAGTTTAAGGATGAGCTGTTGGGGGATGATGGTGTTGAATGCCGAGCTGAAGTCAATGAACAACATTCTAACATAAGAGTCCTTAGTGTCCAGATGTGTGAGGGCTGTGTGGAGAGCAGAGGACATGGCGTCGTTGGTTGAACGGTTTGACCGATATCAATCAATCAACCTTTATTTATACAGGTAAATCCCATTGAGCCTCGAGGACTCATTTACAAGAGAGACCTGATTTCAACAAAGAAAGATGACAACAATGGACAACAGCAACAACAATAAGCAGTTATAAAAACTCATACTACAGTTTTTTTTTTTTTTTTTTTTAACAAATAGGATGGCTAAAAGGAAAAAGGTAACAAAACCAAAAAAAAAAAACTGCTAGATTCCGAGACAAATGTATAAAACTAAAAACAGGAACATGTCTGCATTGGTCCCTGCCAGGAGTCCAACAGATTCTTAAAGCCACTTAGAGAGGTCAAGGTCGAGAGCTTCAAATCTTTTTGTAAGATATTCCAGGAAACAGGAGCGGAGTAGGAGAAGGCCCTTTTGCCTAGTTCAGTCCTCACTGAGGGAACACTGCAGGTAATAATGTCCTGAGAGCGCACTCCGTAGCTGCACTCACGCAGAGACATGTAGGAGGAGATGTATGAAGGCAGCAGACCAAGAAGTGATTTAAAGATGAAAATGTACCAGTGAGAGAGTCTGCGTGAAGTTAATGATGTCCAGTTAACCAGTGAATACAGGGTGCAGTGGTGGGTACGATAATCACAGCCAGTTATGAATCTTAGTGCACCATGATAGACAGCATCCAACATCTGCAGGGTTCTTGTAGGAGCGTTCATGTAAATAATATCACCAAAATCAATTGAGGGAAGGAAAGTCACAGATACAAGGCGTTTTCTAGCATTCAGGGTTAGACAGGATCTGTTTCTGAAAAAGAAACCCAGTTTAACTTTCAGTTTCTTTACCAAGTTTTCCACATGGAGCTTAAAAGAAAGATGTGAGTCGACCAAGATACCCAAATATTTATAGGAATCAACAAACTCAATGGGGACACCATTTGAGGATAAAATCGGAGGAAGAACTGCTGGGACCAACTTCCTATTTGAAAAAAGCATCCCTTTGGTTTTTTCGGCATTTAGGACAAGTTTGAGGTGAAACAAATCAGTCTGGATGATGTTAAATGCAGATTTCAGAAGCTGGAAAGACTTAGCAACTGTTTTAGCTCGACAATAAACAACTGTGTCATCAGCATAGAAATGTATGGATGCATTAGGGATGTTTTTACCTACATTATGTATGTAGATTGTAAAGAGGGTGGGTCCTAACACTGAGCCTTGTGGTACACCATTGTTGACTGTTAAATAACTGGAGGAAGTACCATTATGTTGAACACATGCACATTTGCATGATATGCAAACTGGAAGGGATCCAGGGAGGCAGGAAGGACAGATTTGATGTGTTTCATGACTAGCCGTTCGAAGCACTTCATCAGGATGGGGGTGAGTGCCACCGGACAATAGTCATTGAGGCAGGAGGGCGATGCCTTCATTGGGAGAGGGGAAGCGTTTCTGTGCAGGTGTGCCGTTACATGCCTCAAACAGAGCAAAGAAGTCCTTCAGCTCATTCAGCGTAGAGGTTGTGCTGTCACAGGTCTGTGGGGCTGGCTTGTAATTCGTGATGGTCTGTATTCTCCGCCACAGACTCCGTGTATCCTTGCTGTCACTGAAGCGATAAGCTATCTTCCTGGAATACTGCTTCTTGGCCTTTCTGATGCCCCTGGACAGGTCGTTTCTGGCTGCCCTCAGGCCCACCTGATCTCCTGCTGTGAAGGTGGCGTTCCTGGCTCTCAGGAGTCTGTAGACCTGTGCTGTCAGCCATGGCTTATGATTTGCCCAAATAGTGATGGTCTTGAGGTCAGTTACATCATCAATACACTTGGTGATGTATGAACAGACAGTATCTGAGTACTCTTGAAGACATGTGGTGTTGTTTTTGGTAGCAGCTTCTTTGAACATATTCCAACCTGTGGTGTTGAAACAGTCCTGAAGTGCTTCTGAAGAGCCCTCCAGCCACACTCGTATCTGCTTGCAGACTGGTTTAGTGACTTTAACCAGTGGTCTGTATGCTGGCATTAGCATAACACTGATGTGATCAGAGGCACCGATGTGGGGGAGGGGAAGGGCCTTGTAAGCTCCTTTCATGGTGGTGTAAACTTGGTCCAGTGTATTGTTTCCTCTTGTTGTAAAGTCTATGTGTTTGTATGTCTTTGGAAACACACTCCTAAAATCTGCATGGTTAAAATCGCCAGCCAAGATGAGAAAAGCATCAGGGTGGGTTGTCTGCTGCTCACTGATGTGCAGATACAGTTCATTTAGTGGCTCACTTGTATTTTGGTTGCTGGAGCTTGGAGGTATATAAACAGCGATGATTGTAACAGCTGTAAATTCCCTCGGTAAATAGAATGGTCGGCCTTTAATAACCATAAACTCCACTAAAAGTGAGCAGTGTTTGTAGACCACAGCAGCATCACGACACCAAACATTGTTGATATAAACACAGAGCTCCCCTGCCGCGGGTCTTACCTCCCTCAATGAGAGCAGCATGTTAGCCGCTCGAGCTGAATAGCATGGTCCGGAACATTGTTATTATGCTGTTTCCATAAACACAAAAACACAAGAGTCTCTCACAGTCTTCTGTGTTGTTCGTAGTAGGCGTATATAATCCAGTTTATTGTCCAAAGAGTGTACGCCGGCTTGTGTGGGCTAGCTGCTAGCCTAGTTCGGATACCTCTGCATTTTCCCCGCTTCTGCTTCCTGTCGCGCCGCTTATGGCGCTTCCACTGTGGGTGTGATGAAGGAGTGAGGGTCGTGATGCTACCGGCTTCAAAAGCAGGCCGCAGTCATGTAGCTCTTCTTCGAGTTCGCTGTTTATTCCTAAAAGTGTGGTTTTTCCGACATCAAGCAGGAACTTAAAGCTATACTTGCGTTTTAAGACATGTAGACATGACGAAGACGTACAAGCACATCTCGGCTCGCAGGACAAAATAACTAAAACACCATTTTGTCAGGAGAGAGAGAGAAGCCGCAGCGTGTGCGCGCGCGACCATCTTGGATCAGCCCGGGATTATTATCATTATTATTAGTGGCAGTTAAATTATTATTATTATTATTAGTGACAGTTAAATTATCATAATAATTATTACTATTAGTGGCAGTGGAATTATTATTATTATTATTATTGGCAGTTAAATTATTATTATTAAAGTCCTCCTGTGCACGCTCCCGCAGACACTATTTGGCAGCCCATTGTTTTTTGGCACAACACCGGTCCACATTTCCGGGTCCGGCCCACATTTCCAGGTTGTCAGCGGTGACGCGCAACAAATGCAACGCGTCAGTGGTGATGCATAATAGATGCGACATATATGGCAAAGCGACGTATTTATGGATTTTTCCACTTTATTAGACAAATATGGACTTATGAAATTTATAAGTCAGTGTGACGTGTCCGCCGGAAAATACGGTACACTGATCGTATATTGGATTTATTTTTGTTACAGTCAATTCAAAGGAATTAACATTGATTATCCCCCTCCATTAAATTAAAGCAATTAATTAAAATGTTCTGAAAATAAAACAAAATGCTGACATTTTATTTACTGGATGCCACTTTTGTTTTAGATTTTATAAACTTAAATTTCTTAATGCAAAGAAATAAATGAACTCTGTGTCTTTATATAAAACTATATATAAAACTCAGTCTTAAAGTGCTAACCATCTGCTACAGTAAGAAAGTGTTATTTGTCTAAAAAAGTTAAATCTGGTCCTCTGGACATTCAAAAAAACAAAAAAAACAAAGCAAATCAACAAAAAGATTTACTTTTTTTTTTTTTTTTTTGAATGTCCAGAGGACCAGATTTAACTTTTTTAGATTTTCTACCTGGATTATTGAGCATGCATCAGGATAAAGTGTTATTTGGTTAAACATACCTGCATTTTCACACAATGAGCAGAGGTAAGGTCAGTCTGGCAGAAAAACAGGCTTCTTCTGCAAGGAGGAGCATAGCGTTAATGAAATTTCCCACCATGTTTTCACATGAGCTAAACTTCTAAAGCACGACAATAACGAGAGAACGGCAGAACTACAGTGACCTACAATAAACATTGTTCAATAATATGCATAAGTGAAAACCATAATATGGTTTATAAGTACAATAAACATATTTCTTTGTCAAACATCGCAGAAACACGTTACCTCAACAATGATCCTCGTGAATTTGAGGATTACCATAAAACAGCTAGCTATGTTTGCCCTTTAGAAACGCCCATAAAACAGCTAGCCAATCAGTATTTTCCCTTGAGAAACGCCCATAAAACAGCTAGCCAATCAGTTTTTACCTTTTTAGAAACGTAAAGCAGCTAGCCAATCAGTGTTTGCCCTTTAGAAACCCCCATCAAACAGCTAGCCAATAAGTGTTTGCCTTTTTAGAAAGAATAAAACAGCTAGCCAATCAGTGTTTGCCCTTTAGAAACGCCTATTCTTTAGAATCACCCATTTTTGGTCTACAGAGAACCCTTTCTTGTTTCAACGAGGGTTTGGGTGGGTAATAGAGAAGCACTGTTTGACCAGTCCTCAAACTCTGTACTTAAATAACTGTACAACTAAACAGACAAAAATGTACTCTAGTGAAAGTAGAAGTACCACATTAACGTTTTTACTTAAATACTTAAGAATTTAAAGTAAAAGTACTTGCTGAATGTATTAACTAATGCAATGGTCTACAAAATCATTATGTGTGCCTACCGTATGTATATTTTCTGTAATACATTAATAGTGTTGAGCCATTTTCATGAACAATGCTGCAAATAATTAATGTTTTTATGCATCAGAATTTCAGGGATGACATGCAGAGTTAAATGTCATTAAGCAAAATAAGAAAGAGGAATGATTATACCTTTGTTAGTTTTTATTCAACAGCAGTAAACACATTTAAGTAAAAATTGTCTGTCTGAAAAAAGGAGCATTAGACACAACTAACAAAGGAATAGGCACTGATCATTTCCACTGACATTTCAACTCCAGTTTGTCATCAACTCTAGTTAAAATACTGTCTATTAAACCTTGTAATGGGTCAACAGTGAACAATATTTTAACTTCCTGACACCATTTTTAAAACTTGGACCCGAGTGTCGAGACATTTGGAGACATCTCTTGTCTCCTAACATCTCATGAACTGACACATTTTAATATTGCAGCAAGAATTTCTTGTTCAAGTTCAGAAGAAATTGTTTTTCAAAGATTTTTGAGTCCAGTCTGGCTCTTTTGGGAGAGAGAAGCTGTCCTGTTGTACTGAGCAGTCTTTCAATAAGGCCATGGGTGGAGCACATCTTCTGGGTGACTCTCTTGCGGTGGAATCCATTTTTGGTGTGTTAGTGGTGCTGCGGGTGCACCCAGCTCAGTGGCATATTGGCCCGGTTCTTCTTTAAGGTGGGCCTAGGTTTAGAGTTAACTCCTTTAACTCCCTTAAAGGTTTAGAGTTTACTCAGAGTTTAGCCAGAATTTAAAAAAGCTCTGTGGTGGCAGGGCTCCAGGGGTGGATGAGATCTGCCCCGAGTTCCTCAAGGCTCTGGATATTGCTGTCTTGGTTGACACTCCATTGCAACAACGCATGGACATGAAGAGTAGTGCCCCAATGACAGGGGCCTCACTCTCCTCAGCCTCCCTGGCAAGATCTATGCAGGGATATGGGTGTTGTTGAAGAGAGTCTGATTTATGTTCAAATCTCAGATTCAGGAGGAACAATGCGGGTTTTGTTCATGAAACACTGGAGGACAGCTTGGACAGCCTCTGCAAAAAAAATAATAAAATAAAAAAATTATATACAGTACAGCTTTTTTCACAAAAGTCAGCATGTGAAACATGCAAATCAACATCTGGATAACCAAGAATGGGTGTTGGAAACGAAAGTGGTTGACATTAAGGTTAAGAAACTGAAAAAAGAGCTGGTTTCTGCCATAGGACAGTGATCTGACAGTGACCAAATAAATTAAAATGACCTTAACAATCACTGAAATGGGTTTAACTCAGTCAGTTTGATGTTGTAGTTGCTGAGAGTTGTCTCTGTCACATCCTTTGAGCAAAATCTAATCTTGCCAGATCGTGACACTTCAGTATAAAAGGCTGTGAGTGAGGCACAGTCCTTCAACAAATGTTAGTTTCAGTCATGAATATGAATTAAAGGGATTTTTTTAGATGTGGAGCCTACATATGACAACAGCATAACAAAATTCTTAATATTCTGGTATGGCTTTTGGTTTTGGCATGAACCATCTGGTCATCCGTTTAAAACATTTGTGAAAGTTCAGATGGTTGTGTGAACTTAAAAACACTGTGTATCTTATGTACGCAAGAATTAAAACGTTTTTAATTCCAGGGCAAGCACACAAGAATTTTATTCCCTTCTCTGGTGTGTGGCAACTGCACAAATTATATTATTTACATGATACGCACACACACACACACAAA